GGCAAGACATGGTTTTAAAATAACCGTGATGGATCATTGCAGGCAGATAGATGACAAGGTACAGATTTTTACCCAAAAACTGGAACTTATTTAAAATATTTAAAATATTACTCAGGTGGCTCACAGGGTAAACTTAAAACTTAAAAACTTAAAAAGTAAGATAACTGAACTAAATGTAGTATATAATTTAAACAGAGCGGACACAGAAGAAGAAAGGATGGACAAGGTAGTATCCATCTCAGGAAGTCAGAAAGATGACAGATTTGAAACCCACAGAAATGACAGGAAAGGAAATGAGGACAATGAGGGCAGGTCCTGATGAAGCAGAACAATTAACCAAACAGTCACAAACCCAATCTGCCCATTTGGTTTGCCAAGTATTGGAAGCAGTTCTTCTCTTAGTGGCTGGTAATCACCACTATCTCCCTATTGCTGGTGGGGGGGGAGTGGGGTGGCGCGGGGAGGAAGGTGACTTCATTAGGGACCCTCCTTCAGGGAATCCTTTCTGAGTTCTTGAAGGGGCACTGACTTGTGTCAACTTTGAGGGGTGACCCTGTTGGACCGTGACATGCACCTTCTCTGTGCGTCTCCCAGTGAAATTGATCAGTCATGTCCAACTCTTCGCGATGCTATAGACTGTAGCCCACCAGGCTCCTCTGTCCTTTGGATTCTCTAGCCAAGAATACTGGAGTGGTTTGCATTTCCTTCTCCAGGGGATCTCCCCAAGCTGGGGATAGAATCTGGGCCTCCCACATTGCAGGCAGACTCTATCCTGTGAGCCGCCGTTCAGAACTATCCATCCTTTGCACCTCCTCTGTACCCCTCCTGTATGTGTCCCCCAGAACTCCCATCTGTGGCTGAGTGCTGCAGACAGAACTGGGAGCTGGGTCCTCCTCCCCTTCCTTCTCCTCGTCCTCCTTGTTAGGGGAGGCGTGGCTAGCCTTCCTCGCTGTGCACTTGGCTCAGGGAGATCTTTGGCCCGTGGCGTCTTGGCCTTGGTCCCATCTCAGGGGCCCGGGCTGGCGTTCCCCGTGTGTTGCAGGCTGCCTCACTTAATAGAGAACAGAAAGTCACGCATTCTTTGTTTCTTCCCTGGGGCAGGGGAGAAGGTGGGGGGAGGGCTGTTCCTACTTTTCCATGGCAGTTTTGTTCCAGGGCTTTTGAGGGTACTAATTGGTACCAGCCTGGAAGGGTCTCCTGGTAGGTGGGTTTAGACCAGCACCCTGGCCTCGGAGATGCAGCTACCAGGAGGTACCAGATGAATGGATGGGAGGAGGGTGTCCCGGTCCCCCATGTCTCTGCAGCCCAGCCTTGCCCTCTGTCCCAGCGCTCACTGCCCCCTCTCTCCAGCATCAGGGTAGAATGTTAATACCTCTCGTGAAGCTGGGACGTTGTAAGGGACCTAGCTTCTCATTCACAGTTGTATTTGATCAACATGGTTCAGTAATTATCTGTTTCAGTGAACTCATCTCTGGCGTTGGCATCAGGATACGGAGTCCGAAAGAGCATCATGGACTCTGCTCATTACAAAGACAAATGTAATGAGACCTTGTGAGTCAGACCCTCCAGTGAGTCTCCATATTGCTCAGAGACACTCAGTCTTGATCCTGGCTTCTGAATCCCGCACACCCTCCACCCTACCCACATGCACGCCCCTCTCGGATCCAAGGTCATAGCATCCTCCCTGCCAAAGGTGCTAGGGCCTGGCAGGTACCTGGGAAGTTCCCACTTTAGAATCTTTCATGATGGCTTCCTGCCACCCAGCCCAAAGCCTGGACAGCACAGGGCCCTGGCAAATACGCATCGAGTGAATCAGTTGAATGGCTAGATAGTGTGTGGTTGATAGCCTCAAGAAGTGGGCAGAATCTGTGTTGTCAGCTCCGTTTTCCAGGTGAAGGGGTGGTTCAGAGAGGGTCGGGCACTCGTTCACAGTCACACAGCCAATGGGGTTGAGCAGCCTGGTGAGAACTGGAGTCTCCAGACTCAGCCTGTGCTTTCTGGCTCAGCTCTCTCCTCTGACTCAGTGGCTCTTTCCCTTCATCCACGTCTACACCCCTGTAGGTTCCTGACATCAGGGCCACAGCAAGGAGTGGGACTGAGTGTCCATCCTCATGGAGCGCCCAGCTCAGGGAAGAGACAGACAAGCACACAGCATAGGCAGAGAGGAGCCGGGATGCAGTGGAAGAGGCCCCTGCTCAGGCCGGGCGTGGGCAGACCTCCCTCCCGGAGTCTAGGCAGCCAAGCAGGGCGCGGTGGGCTTCCTGGACCGTGTGGGGACGGCCAGGCTGGGTGCCGAGGCCAGAACAACTGTGCCCTGTGGGTCAGTCCTGTTGCTTCAAGTTACAAGCAGTCTGCTTTACACAATAAAGGGGATTTATTCTCTGATGTCACTGAAAAGTCAAGGCCCAGGGAGGGCGGCAGGTAAGATCAAGCAGGGACTCAACCCCGATCGCCTCTTCCAGCGAGGGAGTTAAGTGTCTGGAACAACTCCAGATCTCACTTCCAAGCAGCAAACTGGCCAAAGCCAAAGAACGTCTCTCTCCCCGCTCCTCTGCAAAAGCCAGGAGTTTCGCTCCAGATGAGTTAGGCTGCGTGCCCATCCCTGGACCAGTTACTGCAGTAGGAGGGGTGGGAACCCTCTACCTGCCAAGTTAGATCGGAGCCCGCCCTTGAGGATAAGCAGGTTACTCTGACTTAGATGGCAGAGCTGGTTGCTGGATAGAGGAGCAGGGGGCGGCTGGAAGGGACGGCTCTGGACACCATTAGGTTCTCCATACAAGTCACGCTGTCACAAGTACCAAGTGGAGCAGGAGGCAGATGGAGAGATCTTGCCCCCCGGGATGAGGCCTCGAGGAAACAGTAGAAGCAACACATCTTGTCCCCTGACTGTCTCCAGGACGGCCGCCGGCACCGTGGATTTAATCTGATTTTTGAACTGCCCCTTTTTCTACCAGAAAGTAATCAATCTCCTTTTCGCTGTCACTTCCCTGGGGAAAAGAAAAAAAAAATATCCAGCTGGTTGACAGCCTACACATTGAGGATGGGGAAGGTAATTGATCAGACAGATAGAGACAGGGGCATATGCTCAGCAAGGACCAACGGGAGGCAGGTTCCAGTGCAGAGGTGTGACACAGCTGTGCTCTGCAGGAGCCCAAAAGCCAAGGCGGTGTGGGGACTTGTGTTACGGGCCTCCGAGGAGTCCCGGTGTGCTTTCTCTGAATAAGTGCCTCCCAGCCTTCTCTGTACCCCTCCAACTATGGTCATCTGGGGCCCAATCAACAGACAGGGTGTCCATCCAAGGCACACTCCTCCAGGTGCGTGGACTCAGAAGGTCTGGGATCCAGACTCGGACTCACTTCTTCCTCTCCCCATGACCTTGAGCAAAGCCACTTAATCTCTTTGAATCTCAGTTTCTTCTTTGGACAACTTGGGAGACCCCTATGTGGGTGGCCATATACTTTGTTAGTTGAGGAAATAGATATGCATGAATGCACCATCCTCTCTGGCTCTTAGTGGCTCATCCAAGACTATCCATTCATACATAGAAAATGGCAAAGGAAAGTTTGTGTGCCTAGTTATGTCTGACTCTTTGTGACCCCCGTGGACAAAGAGCCCCATTCCTGCCAGGCTCCTCTTGTCCATGGAATTTTCCAGGCCAGAATACTGGAGTGGGTTGCCATTTCCTTCTCCAGAGGATCTTCCCGACCCAGGGATCGAACCTGCATTTCTTGTGTCTTCCACCTTGGCAGGCAAGTTCTTTACTAGCTGAACCACTGGGGACAGAAAGTTCAGCAAGTGCTTAGTGAATGCCAGAAACTCGGCAGAGAGCATTTTGTCTCATCTTCATGGCCATCCCATAAGTGGAGGTAGTACTGTCCCATTTTACAGAAGGGAAAACTCAGGATCAGGAAGGTTGAATAAATTGCCCCAAACCATTCCGCTGGTAAACCAATGCTTGAACCTTGGTCAGGTAGAAGCCTGGGCTACCCTCTAAGAGTAGCGTTTTGGTTGTTGTTGATCTTCAGAATCCAAGAAAGCATGAAGGAGAGAGAAAGTAGCTTGTGCTCAGCAAGCTCGTGTGCCCAGCACTGTACGTGCATTATTAACTCATTTCACAAACTTTGGTCAAGTGCTTCAATGTACTAGGTTCTGGTTGCAGGAAAGGTGCGGGGGGACACCTTCTGAGTCTCTTGGCAACCTTTCACAATGGGCATTAACATCCTTTTGTACACATGCACTCACTGAAGCTCAAAAGGTTAAAAAATTGTCCACCTGCCATGTTGGTGGTGTCGCAACAGAGCAGAAAGGGAGGAAGTGAAGAGAGGAAAGTTTTTTTATAAGAAGGGGATAGACGTTCATCCTGTTTTCTTCCTCTTTCTCTGTGTAGATGACAGACAACCCGCAGTGCCTTCATCAAGCCAGCTGCTTCCCCACCACATCTCTGGTGACAGCGTGGGCAAGACCCAGTTCTAATTAAGGATTGTCAAGCATCATCCTGTCCAGAGGGCGCTGGAAGAAACAGCTTCCCTCTGTCCCGCACCGCGGCCCTTCCTGCGACGTCTTCACCTCCGAGGGACCCTGGGCTGTCACAAGGATTAATTACACCGCCACCCCCTTGGATGGGAAAGGAAATCACGGTTATTAGGTTTTGATTAAAGCTTCATCAAGAGACGTTATCGGCTGTTTGAAGACTGCTGATGAAACAGGCCACTGTATTTCCTGAAAAGACAAATTGCATGCCAACAGAGCCAACCCACCACGAGTGGTCCACTTAGCCTCTGAGCATCGCGGGTGATGTCCGGCACCGCCTGCTGGCCACCAACCTGCAGAAGTGGCCGTCGGGAGGCTCCGAAGCTCCCTGGCCGCCCCTGTCTTGTCCTGGCCTGCCACTGAGCCTCTGTCGCTGGGTTCTTTCTTGGGAGTTCCTCCCCAATTAGGCGTGGTTTCCTCCGGCCCACCCCTGGGCTCCCCCCGACCTCAGGGAAGCAGAAACGGCGACCATGAGGAAAAGAACTCTCAAAGTGCTCACGCTCCTCGTCCTCTTCATCTTCCTCACCTCCTTCTTCCTGAACTACTCTCACACCATGCTGGCCACCACCTGGTTCCCCAAGCAGATGGTCCACGAGCTCTCAGAGAACTTCAAGAAGCTCATGAAGTATTCCAACAGGCCCTGTACCTGTACTCGCTGCGTTGGGCAGCGCAGGGTCTCCTCTTGGTTCGACGAGCGATTCAACCAGTCCATGCAGCCGCTGCTGACAGCCAAGAATGCACTCCTGGAGGAAGATACCTACAACTGGTGGCTGGTGAGAACCGGGACAGTGGGTGGGTCTGGGGGAAGGCGGGGTGGGGGGCCCCTGACGGCCAAACGCTCAGTCCCTGGCGTGCACCTGGGGCCCTGCCAGGCGCTTGGTGGGATTCGGAATGTTAGTCATTCATTCATCCAGCATCTACGTATTGAGAATCCACTCTATATAAGCCAGAGCCGAAGGTTCTGTAGGAGTTTCCGGTGTCTGCCATCACAGGTGACATAGACGGTGGCTTGAAGCTATAGACGTGCGTTCCCTCTTGTTTCTGGAGGCAGAGGCTGAGATCAAGGTTGAGATCAGCCTGACCAAGTCTGAGATCAGCAGCCTGAAGGCTCTGAGACACTCCACCTCACGCCTCTCTCCCTGCTTCTGAGGGTCGCTGGTCGCTGCGAATTCCTTGGCTTGTAGACACATCCCTCCAGTCTCTGCCTCCGTCTTCACACGGCCGCCTTCTCTGTGTCTTAAGCACCTCTCTTCCTTCCTCTGTAAGGACACCTGTCACTGAGTTTAGGGCCCACTCCGTATTCAAGAGGACCTCATCTCGAATTCCTTAACTACGTCTGCAAAGATTGTTTTTCCAAATAAAGTCCCATCCACAGGTTCCAGGGGTCAGGACTTGGACATATACTTTTAGAAGCCACTATTTAACTATTATTGAGAAGCAAAAAAGACAGAATCCTCTTCTCATGGAGTTATATTCTGGCAGAGAGAGATGGATAACAAACAAGATAGGCTCAGCTAGAAGTGCTTGGAGGAGGAACAGAGGGGTTTGTGATAGGGAGGAGCTTGGGGCAGAAGCCTCTATAAATGGACCAATGGGAAGGTCTCTGAGGAGCCAGGACTTGAATGGAGACTAAAGGCAGAGAGGACACAGGCCATGGAAGGATCTGGGGAAAGTGCAGTAGGTCACAGGGGCAGCAGGTGCAGAGCCCCGGGGCAGCGTCAGCTTGGTGTCTTGGGCGGGGGGAAGGTGACAGAGGAGCTCTGTGTGGCCGTGAGCAGGGGTTGCTGCCTCTAGAGGAGGTCTGGGAGCAGGCAAGACCCAAAGCGCAGAGTGTGGCACTTGTGTCTAAGTGCAGCAGAAAACTTCAAGAGTTTTAATCAGGAGAGGTCCATGATCTGATCTAGTTGTTTGAAAGGTCACTCTGGTTGTCAAATGCAAAATGGATCGTAGGAGAGTGAGAAATACCCAGTCATTCAAGATTTATTGAGCATCTAGTAAATGCCAATGTATTTAGACGGAAAAAAAGAGCTTTCCCTTTTTAGGGATGGTGGGAGAGAAGGGAAAATGGACAATCACAAGACAGAGGGATGGATGGTAGGCACCCAGGGTCCCTGGGTTTTGCTCTTAATTTCCTATATTTTATCAAGAATGATTTTGAGGAACTTCATCTTGCTGAGTTCCAGATTGGAATAATAATAGTCCCCTCATCTAGTTTCTCTACAACACTGCAAACATTAGGTTTTAACATTTTTATTTATTTGTGCTGCTTTAAATGAGCATGGGATAATGAATTCACATTTTTGTTCAGCACGTGGGAAGGCTGAATATTTTCCCACATGGCTGCTAACATTTTATCAGTTTTTTTAATCCCTACCCCAGTGCTTGTCTGCCGTCCTTCTTTGCTGGAGTTTAGCCTCTGGTGGCCACTTGGTAGGGATTTTGCAGGGGAGGAGGAGAGTCGAGAAGGGGCCTCACCAATAGAAATCAACAGAAAGGAGCAGGGCTTTCGAGCTTCTGAGTTCCTTGACAACACACAGACCACATGTTTTGAATAGTTGGGACACCACTTCTGACAAGCACTCCTGTCCCTCCAGGCAGAGACACAGAATACTGAAATCAAAACCATCCTGAGAGCTCCCGAGAGGCACCGTAGCACTGCCGAAAGGCCCCCAGGCATCCAGGACAGATCCAGATTTAGGAGGCTGAACACAGAGCCCTGCCTTTCAAACTTGACGAGCCTGGCAGGAAATGCCCTGCAGGCTGGTGGGCTGGCAGAGGGCCACAGAAGGTGCTGGATGCTGTGAGTCAGAGGGGCTGGGCCTAGACCCGCTCCTCCCCGTCCGGTCTGCGGCCTCTTCTCCTCTGTCTCCAGGTCTGGGTGAAGGACTTGACAGGTCACCCGCCGTCAGTACAAAGCCAGGCGTGGGGCTCTGCCGTCTGCCCCCAGGCACCGTCGTTTTCCGCCGCCTTGCCCACTGCGGCCTCTCTAGACCCACATGGGAGCTGGGGCAGGGAGGCCAGACCAGGGATGGAGGCTTCAGGGGCTGGAAGCTGACAGCCAGGTGCCTTGGGGATCACACAACCCCCCACGTCCTTCACATCAGGGTCACGCTGACTGTCTCAGCTTCTGCCCCTAAGACACGAGCGCCACCAGCAGCGGGCAGGCGCTGGCTGAGTCCTGACTGTAGACAGGGAAATAGACTACAGTACTTGGGAACTAGTCAGGAGGGTGAAGGGGAGGCAACTTTGAACCCCTGCCCCACTCTCCTTGTGCTTGTCAGCAGCCCTCTGGGACTTTGCGTTGTCATTTACAGAAGACAGAGAAATCAGGAGGTCCTTTCCCAGGGAGGACAGGGACGCAGCGGGGTGTGACTGGCCTCAGCTCCCCAAGCCAGTGAGGGGACGCTTTAGGGTTCTCATCCCCAGAAACACGGCTAGACCCCAGCCCTCTGCCTCCGGTTCTACCCGCTCTGCCCTCCCCTGGTGGCCTGGATCTTTCCATCTCTGGACCTCAGTCTGTCAATGAAGGTGGGGAACAGAGCCAAGATTCCTGGAGTGTGAGCTGGGGCCCCAGGGCGTGACTCCTGGTGATACGGGGGCGGGGCCTTTAAGAGCACGAGTCGGAGGAAGTCATCCCTGCTTTAATTCTCTTTCCATCTTTGAAATTGCAAGGGTTACATGTGCCTCCTTGTTTCGTGATGCAGCCTTTTAGCACCTGCCTGTCTCAGTTCTATTAATAGTGAAGACAGGGCGGCTTGCCTGGGCAAGCAACAGGATGGAGCTGGAAGTGAATAAGGTGATTTTGTTTTCATCATATTGGGTAATTACTTTTTTACTTCTGCCAAGTAACTCTTGCTTTCACGTGTGGCTGAGATATGAGATTGCCTTTTAAAATAATCTTTAAAAGCAGTCAATCCTAAGGGAAATCAACCCTGATCATTCCTTGGAAGGACTGATGCTGAAACTCCAATACTTTGGCCACCTGATGAGAAGAGCCAACTCATTGAAAAAGACTCTGATGCTGGGGAAGATCTAAGGCAGGAGGAGAAGGGGGTGACAGAGGACGAGATGGTTGGATGGCATCACTGACTCAACAGACATGAGTTTGGGCAAGCTCCAGGACATGATGAAGGACAGAGAAGCCTGGCATGCTACAGTCCATGGGGTCCCAAAGAGTTGGACATGACTGAGTGACTGAACAACAATAACTTTTTAAAATGAATCAAGGAGTGAACCAGTAATAGGTGGATGGGACAACGAGAGGCTGTCCTCCCAACACGGGTATCCTGCCAGCTCTGAGCCTTCAAACTCCTGGTCCCCTGAGACAAAGCAGACACGTGTGTAACATAGTAGGTGCTCAGTGACTACTGCTGAGTGCTGGATTAAAGAATGCCATGTGACTCCTAACCCAGCGTACAGCGTCATGCTCCCCGAGGTAGTGACACAATGGGGGACTCTCTCTGGTCTCGGGTGCATCCTCGTGATGTCCGGGCCCTTCTTGTGTGGGCGTTCTTAGAGGAGGTTCCTGATGGGGAGCTTGCCTGTGGTCTTCACCCCCCGGGGTTGTCAGAGTATGGTCCTCACTATACCAGCAGCAGCATCGCCTGAGAGCCTGTAAGAAGTGCTGGACCTGGCGCACAGATCTTGCATGTTAGCATGTTAGTTGAGGCTTCTGCCCCAACATTCCAGATGACCGTGTCTTCAGGAGCCTGGAGCTGCCCCAGAAGTTCTTAAAGGGGCAGGTGTTTAATCTGGATGTGGTTTTTGTCTTGTTGTGATAGAATAGACATCACATGAGCTCCCCAGATGGGCAAGTGGTAAAGAATCCACCTGCCAGTGCAGGAGACTCAAGAGACCTGGGTTCAATCCCTGGGTCGGGAAGATTCCCTGGAAGAGGGCATGGCAACCCACTCCTGTATTCTTGCCTGGAGAATCCCATGGACAGAGGAGCCTGGTGGGCGACTGTCCATGGCATCACCAAGAGTCAGACACGACTTAGTGACTAAACCATCACCACATACACATGGTATTTATCATCCTAACTCTTTGAAAGTGTACAATTCAGTGACAGTAAATGCATTCATGATGTTGGGTGACTATCACCACTACCCATACCTGGCACTTTCATCACCCCCAGTGAAACCCCATACCCCTCAGATAATACCAATCCCCTACCATCCCTCTCATCCCCCAGGCAACCACCATTCTACTTTCTGTCTTGATGAATCTGGTGACTCTAGTATCTCCTGTAAGTGGAATCGTACAACATGTCCTTCTGTGTCTAGCAAGTAAGTCAGTGAAATAACACTTAGCATAAAGTGAAGTAGCTCAGTTGTGTCCGACTCTTTTCGACCCCATTGACAGTGGCCTACAAATTCATCCTTTGGTATTATATATCGAAATGTCCCTTTTTTGTTATAACTGAGAGATGTTCCACATTTTGTTTATTCATTCGTCTGTCGATGGACCCTTAAGTTATTTCCACCTTTTGTCTGCTGTGAGCAATGCTGCTGTGAACACAAGTGAACTTGTTCAGGACCCTGATTTCAGGTTTCTTTCTCTGTTTTCTTGGTCATGGCTTGTGGGACCTTAAATTCCCTGACCAGGGATTGAACCTGGACCCTCAGCAGTGCAAGTGCTGAGTCCTAAGCCCTGAATCACCAGGGAGGCCCCTGATCAGTTCTTTTCAATACTTAGCGATGGAACCACTGAGAGACCGCCAAGCAGTTTGCCACCGTGGCTGCACCATTTTACGTTCCCACCAGCAAGGCACGAGGGCTCCAGGTCCTCCAGGTCGTCACCAACGTTTGTTAGTTTCCCTTTTTTTTTCGTGATTACCATCCTGTGTGATGTTTACAATAAGGGTGTGCCTGGGGTCCTGATGTCATTGCCCGTGGCTCCCCAGGCATGTGCCGTGTCTTAGGCTAGAGGAGATGCTAGGTGGCTTTACCCATGGGACCATCCGGGTCTCCTGCTGCGCCTCCTGCTGTGGCTGCTGACTCTTCCCAGGCCAGCTGGGGACCAGGCGCCCGGGGACCTCCCCACACAATCCCCCAGTCACTGATCTCCTAGACAGTGGCCAGAGCAACAGCTAACCTCACCTTTCTCTCCCGCAGCCCCTCCCCTGTCTTTGGGGCTGGTGAGACAGGTGGGACTCACCCCACGGCCACCTCCCCCTATCCAGCCCCAGGGACTGGGCTTTCTGTAGGGTTTAGGAGGTTTCTCTCTTTCTCTCTTTCAGGAGTCTTTCCGAGGTTCCAGGGCTCTGAGACAGGGGTGGTGTTGGGGAGAGGCGTTAAGGTGGGCCTTATAAAAGCCTGGCTTCAAATTCCCCTTTGGATTCAGGACACGCGCTCAGCAGACTCAGACCCTCTCTCCTTGTCCACCTGTGAATTGACAGCTGTGTGGCCTGGTGACACGGGAGATGCAATGCTTCTTAGGAGATCTCTCCAGGTTTCACTCTGAGTGGGGGGTGGTCTGTACCAGCGTGTGGTCACTGTGCAGTGTGGCCCCCAGAGGCGGTGGGCGGACATGGGCGGGCAGAGGGGGCCTCAGTAAGGCAGCCCACTCACCCCACTTTCATCACTGAGAGTCCCGCTTCCAGTGCTAGCGCTCAGCTGTGTCTGACCTCGCGGACGGCAGCCCGCCAGGCTCCTCTGTCCCTGGAATTCTCCAGGCAAGACCACTGGAGTGGGTGGCCATGTCCTCCTCCAGGGGATCTTCCTGGGTCAGGGGTCTAACCCGTGTCTCCTTAATTGGCAGACGGATTGTTTACCACTGAGCTACCTGGGAAGTCAGGGAAACTCCTTAACCCTGGGCCAACCAGGTGGCTGGTTGCCCTCAGGATAAACCCAGTGTTTGCCCGCACCTGGGGGTCAGGCAGTTCCCAGGGTAGTTGACCTTGGGTGTGGACATGAAAATAATTTGTTAAGCAGAGGATGGACTGCTTGATGCATCTGGCGAAGCGCTGATTCTTAGGTCTGGACAGAGCCCAGAGGTCCTGGGCTGAGGTTGCCGAGTGGTAGGACAGGGAGGGAAGGCGGGCGTGGAGGGTCACCCGACCTTTGCTTCCATGCGCCTCACTCATACTGCCTGGGCTCAAGAGGCCAGAGCTGTACCATGTTCATGAAAGTGAAAGTGTCAGTCGCTCAGTTGTATCCGACTCTTTATGACTCTATAGACTATAGCCTCTGCCTTTGGGATTCTCCAGGCAAGACCACTGGAGTGGGTGGCTATTCCCTTCTCCAGGGGATCGTCCTGACCCAGGGATTGAACCTGGGTCTGCTGCATCGCAGGCAGATTCTTTACCCACCAAGGACAGCAGGTGCTCAGGAAGCATTTGTAGACTGGATGGATGATCTCTGGCCTTCCTGTCTCCCCGAGTGGCTGCTGGGGGGGACGTGGAGCTGTGTCTCCAGGTGCCTCGGGAGGAGCCAGGTCACCAGCCCCGAGGGGCTCAGGCTCCAGCCGCCGGGACCAGCAGTGGCCCAGCCCTGCTGACTCACGTCCCGCGTCCTCTGCCCCCAGAGGCTCCAGCGGGAGAAGCAGCCTAATAACCTGAACGACACCATCAGGGAGCTGTTCCAGGTGGTGCCCGGGGACGTGGACCCCCTGCTGGAGAAGGGCTCGGTGGGCTGCCGGCGCTGCGCCGTCGTGGGCAACTCGGGCAACCTGAGGGAGTCCTGGTACGGGCCTCAGATAGACAGTCACGACTTTGTGCTCAGGTGAGTGAGGCCCCTCAACCCCTAGCCCACCCCGCTGCCCCCACCTGGGCCCCTGGAGCTGCAGAGGGCATCATGGCTCGGGGTCAGGAGGTCAGGACTCCAGTCGGGGAGCCCAGACTTCCCCAGGGCCTCAGTTTCCCCACGTGCATTGCAGGATGGGGATGGATCAGCAAGGCCTCTCTGAACCCAGAGAGGACACTGTGCAGAGAAGCACCCAGTGGGCTGGGAACTCGGCCTGGAGTGGCCTGACTGGAGGACAAGACTAACTTGAGACTCTTGTTTCATCTTTACAGTCCGCCCCTGCTTGGCCATTTAGGCCATAACATAACTCATGCTTCTCATGCAAAATAGGTTTCCCTATCTCCAAGTAAAATGAATGTTCCAGGAAGATGCCCACGTCTCTCCTGGGTTTCTCGTCACCCCCACACCAGGCACCCGATCCAGGGCTCCAGTGCCCAGCGTGAGAAACTCAGGCAGCCATCCCCAGGCACCTTCTAGAACTGCCCCCATTTCTGTGGACTCTGACGTTATGTCTTTAGACCGCTCACCTGGTCTCGGGGAGCCTCAGTGTACTGGCATCCAGTTGGAACATCTATGGTGAGGGGGAAAGAGTCAGGTTTAGGGTCGACAGGCCCTGAGTTCAAGGCCACCACTGGGTAGCTCTTGGGTTCTGGGATAAATTCTTTACATATACCAGTTATCATTAAAGGTCGACGAGGTACATCACTGCACCGGGACAGAGTCAGCTGTTGGTGGTGGGGATGGTTAGGCTCATCTGAAATCATAAATGAGAAAAAGTAGCGAAAACTGGCTGACCTGGCCCACACTGTGCCCATTTTACAGATGAGGAAGTTGGGGCCCAGCGAAGGGGGACACAGCACAGCCTCTCTGAGCTAAAGCTGACAAGATGCCTGTCGTCTCTCCCTCCCCCCCAGGATGAACAAGGCCCCCACTGCAGGGTTTGAGGCCGACGTTGGGAGGAAGACCACCCACCACCTCGTGTACCCCGAGAGCTTCAGGGAGCTGGCGGAAAACGTCAGCATGGTTCTGGTCCCCTTCAAGACCGTCGACCTGGAGTGGGTGATCAGCGCCACCACCACGGGCACCATCTCCCAGTAAGGCCCCTCGGGGCATCTGCGTGAGGGGCGGTGGTCACTGCCGGGGGGGTCACTGCTCCTCCTTGCTGAGTGAGGGCCTCTGAGCCCCCTGCCACGCTGTTCCACCCACTGCAGCCACACTCATGCTGTTCTGCTGGCGCAGCTCGCCTCCCCAAGCCGCATCCTAGACGGCACAGCCCCGCCCCCAGGCCGCCCCTGGCTCTTCCTGGTGCCCCTCCTCCCATCGCCCCCGCGCCACAGCCCAATAGACCTCCCTGGTTTGCTTCCCCAAAGTGAAAAGTGAGAGTGTCAGTCGCTCAGTCGCATCCGACTCTTTGCAACCCTGTGGGCTGTAGCCCGCCAGGCTCCTCTGTCCGTGGGATTCTCCAGGCAAGAGGACTGTAGTGGGCTGCCCTTGCTTCCCCAAACGCCCTGCGAGTCCCCCAGAAGGTGGACCCTGCTGGAGAGAGCCTGGCAGTGTCGGTTCTGCGTGCTGAATTTTCTCATCTCTGTGCTGCTCCCCGATTATGACAGCTCCCCCGCACCCCCGCCTGCCTCTCGCACTGTCAAACGGCCCCAGCTGGGCTGGGGGGCGGCTAGGGAGACCGGGTGAGGAGCCTGTCGGCTCTGGTGTGAGTCACCGGTCCTGCCTGGAGCATCGAGGAGTCAGTTCACATCTGATTTGTTCCGGCCGCTTGGCACGCGTCTCGCTGAGTTCACACTAGCCCTTCTCGTGACCTCCGTCCTCCAGGGAGACCCGGAGTCTTGGCCTCTACACAGAGCCAGGCTCACACCTTGTCTCCTTCCTGCCTGAAAGGAAAGGGGCTTAGTGCCCAGATGGCCGGGAGCCTCCTTGTCCAAGGCCTCCTTAGGAAACCCGAGGGATTCGGGGTGCAGGGCAGGGAGGGAAGCGGGCTTGGGCAGAGGGGGGGCTGGGTCACCAGGGCTCAGCTTCGGCCTCTACACAGTTCAGTTCAGCTCAGTCCTGTCCGACTCTTTGCGACCCCATGAATCGCAGCACGCCAGGCCTCCCTGTCCATCACAAACTCCCGGAGTTTACTCACACTCATGCCCATCGAGTCGGTGATGCCATCCAGCCATCTCATCCTCTGTCGTCCCCTTCTCCTCCTGCCCCCAATCCCTCCCAGCATCAGGGTCTTTTCCAACGAGTCAACTCTTCGCATGAGGTGGCCAAAGTATTGGAGTTTCAGCTTCAGCATCAGCCCTTCCTCTGCACAAGGCCCTCTAATTAGCCACGAACGCCCTCTGGTGTCCACAATGGGCTACTGCAGGAGGTGGAGCCCCTTGGTGAAGGAGTGCTTCTCCTGGTCCACCGGCCTCTCCAGCCCTCCCCTCCCCAGCCTATGCCCGGGCAGCCGACCCCTCCCCATACTAACCACCTGCCTTGTCCTCCTGCAGTACCTACGTTCCTGTCCCTGCCAAGATCAAAGTGAAAAAGAATAAGGTGAGTCAAGGCGCAGGTGCCTTGCCCTCTGAGCTCAGCCTCGCTTTGAAGTCTCCGCCTGATGACAGAGAGAGCCAGCATCTGGCTGCAGAGAGCCCCCTGGGCCCCCAGCATTGGCAGCAGGGGGTGGGCCCCCACTTCGGGAGTGGAGAGACGAACCCTGGAGAGTTTCCCTAAGCCTGGACCCTGGACCAGCCCTTGTCACCAGTGCAGATCCTCGGGCCGCCCCAGATCTGCTGAATCAGAAGCTCTGGGTTTTTACGAGCCCCCCAAGGATGCTGACGCGGTTTGAGAACCACTGCCCGTACGGTGTGAGCATCTCAAAGCCAGTCCTCGCCTCCCGTCTCTCTGTATCACCGCGTTCTCCAGTAGGCCCTGGTGTGGGGTTGGCTAAGACGTGGGCAGAGGGATGGTGGAAGTGAAGTGTTGCATGGAGATGAAGAGATCAGGTTCAGAGAGGCCAGGTAACTTGCCCAGAGACACACAGCTTGTTCACTGATGCCGTGTGCTGATGTCCTCCCGGGGGCGGCTGTGTGACGTTGAGCATGTCCCTCAGTGTCTCTGAGCCTCGATTTCCCCACCTATGACACGAGGAGAGGGACAGCTGGCATGTGAGGTCATTTTCGGGGCTGAAGGTCATTCAGGCCCATGTCAGGCCGGTGTCTTCCTGCAGTGTGACGGGGTGTCCTTGTCCGCAGCCCATGCCCTTCCCTTGGATCTTTCTCCTGCAGCCTCATGTCCTGCTCCTGGCCTCCTTGACTGTTGTTCAGATGCCACCCTCTCACCCCAGCGCTTCCTCGCCTTTCTCTGCTTTCTTTCTCTCTGTGGTCTCATCATTCTTTTCCAGCGTCCTCTGTGTATCCATGATTTAGGTTCAGTTTAGTTCAGCTCAGTCACTCAGTCATGTCTGACTCTTTGTGACCCCCATGGACTGCAGCACACCAGGCTTTCCTGTCCATCACCAACTCCCGGAGTTTACTCAAACTCATGTCCATTGAGTCGGTGATGCCATCCCACCATCTCATCCTCTGTCGTCCCCTTCTCCTCCTGCCTTCAGTCTTTCCCAGCATCAGGGTCTTTTCCAAGGAGTCGGTTCTTTGCATCAGGTGGCCAAAATATTGGAACTTCAGCTTCAACATCAGCCCTTCCAATGAATATTCAGGACTGATTTCCTCTAGGATTGACTGGTTTGATCTCTCTGCAGTCCAAGGGACTCTCAGGAGTCTTCTCCAACACAGTTCGAGTTCAAAAGCATCAATTCTTTGGCACTCAGCTTTCTTTATGGTCCAACTCTTACATGCGTACATGACTACTAGAAAAAACATAGCTTTGACCATATGGACCTTTGTTGGCAAAGTAATGTCTCTGCTTTATAAAATGTGGTCTATGTTTGTCATAGCTTTTCTTCCAAGGAGCAAACGTCTTTTAATTTCATGCCTGCATTCACCGTCTGCAGTGACTTTGGAGCCCAAAAAAATGAAGTCTGTCACTGTTTCCATTGTTTCCCCTCTATTTGCCATGAGGTGATGGGACCAGGTGCCATGACCTTGGTTTTTTGAATGTTGAGTTTTAAGCCAACTTTTTCACTCTCCTCTTTCACCTTCATCAAGAGTCTCTTTAGTTCTTCTTTGCTTTCTGCCCTAAGGGTGGTGTCTTCTGCATATCTGAGGTTATTGACATTTTCCCCTGCAATCTTGATTCCAGCTTGCACTTCATCCAGCCCGGCATTTCATGATTTAGGTCAGGGTCCATATTTTCCACTAGATTGTACCCCACCCCAACCCCCCGTGTAGGGATATGAGCTCCGGGCACTGCTCTGTCCCCTGTGGACCCAAGAGCATGCGGCACCTGACACGTGCCTGGGGTCCTCCCCCAGCCCCCTCACCCTGGGCCGCGTCCTTCCCTCCGCAGATCCTGATTTACCACCCGGCCTTCATCAAGTACGTCTTCGACAGCTGGCTGCAGGGCCACGGGCGGTACCCGTCCACCGGCATCCTCTCGGTTATCTTCTCACTGCACGTCTGTGATGAGGTAGGACACACCCCGTCCCCGTCCCCCCGCTGCCTCATGTTCTCCAGGGGGCGGTGAGGGCGCCTGCGGTCAGGACCTCCATCCCCACCCCCAGGCCTCTTCTGGGGGCTCAGGTCCTGTCCCCACGGTGGGGCTTGCAGTGCCTCCTCCACAGCACCTTCCAGGAAAGAGCCGTGTTCTCCTGGCATGGGAGCCGCTCCGGGCAGGGCCAGGCCCAGCAGGTAGAAGCTCAGACTTGGGGTTAGGATAAGGGAGCAGATTGTAATGGGGGAGCTGTCTGGGGCCTCGGTTTCTATCTCGTTTGCTCCTTAGAATCATCTGTGCAGCTAAATTCCAGCCCCCAGGCCACAGCCCAGCCCACTTCCACCAGAACTGCTGTCAGTGGGGACCAGGGACCGAAGGGCTCCCCCAGGCACCCAGGGGTTCCACTGCTCAGCAAGGCTGAGAACCAATGATCTTGCCAAGCGTGCCTTTCCCCATCGTGGACTCGCCTCACCGCCTGCCAGGCTGTGTCCATGTTACCGTTGGTGACCTGGGGTGCTCACTGCCTATGGGCAGTGAAACAGGAGGGGGATCCCCCCCACTTCCTCCCTGGCCCTGGTTCAGGCAGGACCCTCTGATGTCCCTTCTTGTCACCTGCGGTCCATCCTTGCCCCCTGCCCCAGCAGGCTCATAGCTGGAAATTGCAGATAGGAGTTGAGGGGGTAGCAAAGTCCACCCATCGTCTCTAACTCATGTGTTCTGCCTCCATCTCCCCCCATCCTTCAGCCAGAAACCCGGGTGTCCCTACCAGAAACCGTATCTGCCTCTTGACGCCCCCTGCAGTCTGCTGGTCACAGAGCCCGTGGGCTTCTGCCTCAGAGTGCCCTTCCCTCCGCCCTGGGTGGCCATGTCTGCTGGCATTTCCTGAAAAGGCTGCAGTCAGCGCAGAGCTGTGTCCTGGTCCGGCGGGCCCCCAGCCCTGGGCCATGTCTGCCACGCTGCATCCTGCATGGCCGACCCCCAGACTGCATCCCACATGTCCTCTCCCTGAAAGCCTCTTCCCCAGTCCCTTGGGCTTCCCAGGTGATGCTAGTGGTAAAGAACCCACCTGCCAATGAAGGAGATGTAAGAGACGTGGGTTCCGATCCCTGGGTTGGGAAGATTCCCTGCAGGAGGGCATGGCAACCCACTCCAGGATTTTTGCCTGGAGAGTCCTATGGACAAAGAAGCCTGGTGGGCTAGGATCCGTAGGGTCACAAAGAGTCGGACATGACTGAAGCGATTTAGCATGTCAGACCCTTCCTGGTCATCTTCTACTCATTTTCCAAGACCCAGTTCAAAGGTCACCTTGTGGGACAAGCTCTCTGCCCCCTCTCGTCTCCTCCTCAGTCCCGGGGCGGGGGGGTCGCCCCGCGTCAGCCCCTCTTAAGGGCTCAGTTGCTGGCTGCCATAAGTTAGCGGCTCAAGGGGACTGTTACTCACACCTTTTTGTCGTCACCTCCTTTTGAATATGGGCAGGACTGTGATTTGTTTCTAAAAGATAGGATATGAAAAAGTACTTAATATTTGACCCTTTACAGGATAAGTTTGCTGATCTCTGAACAGAACAAAAGCAAACAAATAGCCATCTATTAAACTTCCTAACTTATTTGATCATGAAATATATTATTTTGTGTTAACACTTGTTTCTCCAAGAAGCACATTAATTAAAAATATTTTTATGGAGAGTTTCGAGGAAAGAAAAGTTAGTATTTAAGTTGCATAATGTACAAGTAAAACTTTCTCATACATTTTTGTCTTTTACCCCAGTTTAAATTTGTTAAATGGTGATATGATCATAGAAGCTAGAGAAAAGAGAAAACATCCTGGAATCTTATAACCAAAAATATATATTTTTGTCTAAGTAAACATTTTTTTTTCCCTAAAACAGTACTCATCCTGGCAAGGGCATGTTGATAAAGATATGTTTATATATTGATTAAAAAAAAAATAAGAAGCTCCGAGGGCTGAGACCGAACTCCCTCATCCCTCATTTCTCCAGCATCCCCCTGAACTCTGACGGGTTTAATGCACACTCAGAATAAAGGCTCAGTAAATGCTTGTTGCATGTAAGAAGCCTGCCCCGCCCCCCACCAGACAGTGAGGGCCCCTGGACCAGATGAATATTAGCCTAGGGGAAGAAAAGGATCAGTACCTTTTCTTGGAGGATCACACCCACCTCGCCATGGTCGTCACTCTTGGCCCCATTTCCCGGATGAGGAAAGTGAGGCTCAGAGGAGTGGTTTGGCACTCACAGGGTACCCCAGCAGGCGGCAGAACTGGGGCCTGGGGTGGACTGCTGGCCTTCGAAGTTCTGCTCTTCAGTCCTTGGAGAAGAGGCTGCCCCTCCCCGGAGGTGGACCCGGCAGGCACAGACGAGCAGTAGGCTCCCATTGTGCCTTCTGGCCTTGAGCCTGACTTTTACCCAGCTTGCTTTACCACACCAAGCTGCCCGGAGCTCCAGGCTCCTGGAGGCTGTGTCCGCCACTGGCCGGTTCTCAGCTCTGCTTTGCCCTCGGCAGGTGGACCTGTACGGCTTCGGGGCGGACAGCAAAGGGAACTGGCACCACTACTGGGAGAACAACCCGTCGGCGGGGGCTTTTCGGAAGACCGGGGTACACGATGGGGACTTCGAGTCCAACGTGACGGCCACCTTGGCATCCATCAACAAAATCCGGATCTTCAAGGGGAGATGACGCTGCGAAGGGTTGAGGACAGGTGCATCACGTGTGACTCCGCATCCAGCCCCAGCTTCCCACCGGAGCCGTTCTTCTCCAGGAACTTCGAGGGCCAGCCTCAGGGGTGTGCCCAGGTGCCCCTCGCAGCCTCTTGCACCCCAACATTTGGCAGCATCTACTGAGCAAGGTCGCCGACCCCAGCCAGGGCTTCAGAGCAAGTCTCAGAACCAGTCTCGAGAGGGGAGAACCCCCTCCTCGCTGCTGCTCCGGGCTGGAGGAGGCGGGGAGACTCTGCAGAGATCCCATCCGAGGATTCCCATGTTCTAGAGGAGAGAATGGTCTCCCGGGGGGAAGCACAGAGGCTACACCCCCGAGGGGTCCGGGGTCAACACTCTGATTCTCACTGGGAAGTTTCTGGGTGAAGATGACCTCCAGGATAGCCACCCCACCTCCCCTTTCTGCCCAAAGATCGCTGAACCGTGGCCAGGAGGGGTCCCCGCCCTGAAAGTCTTCAGTGACTCTAAATGCCCGGGAGATGTCTTCTTCCCAAGCTGACGTCTCCTCCTGTAATGGACCTCTGTGGTTATCCTGAGGGCTGAGCGCGGGTCTAAGTGCTTCCACGTGCCTTGGTACTGGGGGGAGAAACGCATGCCTTGACTGAAATGTGGCAAAAGCCCCAACTTGGGGAAGGGGAACCCAGCAGTGCGCTCCCCTTGGTCTGTAACTGGGGACAGTGTTCTAGTTTCCGGAGCCAGTGTCTGAGCTGCAAGAAAGCTCAGTTGGAACTATGCTCCATCCAGAGGCCCCTCAGCCGTAGACCATACATTCTTATTTTCATAGACTATTGGATTTGGTGCCTGAAACCTTCCAGAGCTTTGCGGCGGAGGTGGGGCACCAGCCAGCAGTTGCCACCAGGGTCAGATCCCCCCTGGCCACCTGTGTGAGGACATCCTAGAAACGTGACCGTCAGAGGGGAGAAGTCATACCTCATCCTTCACGTCCCAGCTGCTCTTTCTTCCTCGTCAGCCTTCCTGATTATTTATTGTCTTGTCTTTTAAATTCAACTGACATCATCTGCACTTTGTGACTCGGGTGTGCTCGCTTCGGCAGGCAGCTGGGGTGTAGGCGCTCAAAGCCAGATTTGTAGAAACCTTCAGACGTGGGGTACTGGGGTGTTCAGGGCTTGAGGGCTTGCTGGTGGGCAGACCCTGGGGTGTCGGGTTGGTAGGCTTACCGGATGCTATGTATCTCCTCTTCCAGCCCCACTTTCTTCTTCCTCATTGTGGGCTTAGATTCAGTCTCGGGCTAAGAATCTCCAAACCAAGTGGTACTGTCTTGGGGCTGGGTGGAAATAGACTCAAAGTCCCAGGCAGCGCTTGTGGTAAAGAACCTGCCTGCAAATGAAGGTGACCTAAGAGATGCGGGTTTGATCCCTGGGTTGGGAAGATTCCCCTGGAGGAGGAAATGGCAACCCACTCCAGCCTTCTTGCCTAGAGAATCCCATGGACAGAGGAGCCTGGCGGCCTACAGTCCATAGGGTTGCAAAGAGTCAGCCACGACTGAAGCGACTTAGCACGCACGCACTGACATTTAATAAAAAAAAAAAAAGAAATCTCTTGCTGTCCAGGGCATTCCCTGAAGGGCCATGGGTGCCTTGAGAAGGTGTGACCGTGGCCTGGAGGAGGATGAAGGATGCTACTCTCAGAGGCCAGGGGTCCCACCCCACCGCACCCTGCAGCCCTCTGGCAAGCCCTGCCCCCCGCCTCTGAGTCCCCCTCTGCCAATGGGGAGGGTCCACAGCGGCTATCGGTCATTCACAAGTGTCCCTAGAAGTCACACACCCTGCTGGTTCTTCCCCAGAGTGTTTGCCTGGGGAGAGGGTCCAGTTTTTCTTTGATTCTCAAAGATTCAGAATCCAGAAAGTCTTTTTTTTTTAAAAAAAAAAAAAAAGCAAGCAAACAAAAAAACTGTTCTAGCATTAAAATCCTCCAAAACCGAAGACCGTCTTGCCTGACAAATGCTTGTCAATTGCTGTGAGGTCACGATTCCCAGCATAAATCCTCAGAGGCTAGAGGTCACGGCAGTCTTTGAGGAGGGGAACTCTGCCAGCGGGTGTGGGTTGGCTGACTCGTGGCCGCCTGGTTTCCGCCCCATGTCTCCGGCCACCAGGCTGTTCACTGTGACATGCCTTGCAGGCCTCAGGTCCCCTTCTGCAGGTGAGCAAAGCAAGGCCAGAGAAGGGAAGCGACTGCACAAGTGAACCAGCTGTGAAATAGATTTCGAGCTGAAAAAGGATGTTATTGGCTCCCCATTAGACCACCTAGAGGTGGGCTTCCCCAGCCCCTCCGAGATCCTTAGTCGGTGTGAGTTTCTGACTACAAGCCTCTCACCACCCGGCTTTGTTCTCAGGCCGCCATGGGGCCCGAGGCAAGCTGTGACCTCTGCCTTCTCACTCCCTCCTTCCAGTGGAGGAGATAGCGTCATCACGTTTTTCCCACAGCTGGGGCAGATATGGCTTTGTGGCTGTCTCCTGGGCTTACCAACGGCCACCTAAGCAAATCCAGCCAGCCACTGTGGCCAGGATTAACACACCATTGCCTTAAACCAGGGGGGCCCATACCCAGGGTTAACGGTGGCCGAGACCTGGACAATAGTGTTTCCACGGGGGTTTGGCCATCAGCCGGAGGATGAGAAGCACCCACAAGGGGAGGCTCTCTTTGTGGCCCAGCATACCAGCCCAGGCTCTGCCCATCCCATAGACAGAGCTCCTTGGAGACTAGCCCCGGGCAAGGGTTAGAGGCATTCCTGCTGCCGCGGTCAGTGCTGAGCCTGAAGCTAAACAGGCCAAGCTAATGAGGGAGAAAGACGTCAGCAACACCCCAGCCTTCTGGCTCCCCCAGGAAAACCAGTGCTCTCTGGTGCTGGAGCAAAACCTACGCCTGCAGCCATATCCCCTGGAGCCTCTGGCCTCACCCACGGGAAGGGAAAGAAAGGAGGGAGGGAGGGTAGTGATCTGGGGTAGAAAAGAAAGTTCTTGATCGGATGCATTTGGGAACCCCAGCTTCATCAGGTATTGTCCAGAAAACCACCTGGGCTGGGCTTAGTGGGAGAAGCCAGATCTAAGGAAATAGGACGTAAAAGGGAGAAGCCAGGCAACAAGGGATGGGCAGGTGATTCCTATGGTGGGTGGGGTGGGGCGCAGGTTCAGAGGAGACCCCCCCAGGCTCGGCTGTGGCCAGAAGGGCCAGTGAGAGGCCAAACCTACCTCGATGCAAACTGGGCCTCTGGGTCCAAGGTGGAATAGAATCACAGAGAATGCTGAGAACTGTGATGTTTGCTTTAACTGTTTTCTTCAAGGCAGCCTGAACCCAAAGAAAAAGTGGAAAACTGAAAACAGCTCGCCCTCCCTCACGTGGTTGTGGTCGGAAGTGCTTTCTGCAGGGAAGCCAGAGGTGACTGCACTCCGGCCACGTGCCGTCAGGACCGGCAACTGTTCTGGCCCCTCCAAAGAGGCGGGGGCTGTCACTGCGTCCATCAGGGATATCTGGTCTGTGGCAGGGCTGGCCACAGGCCGTTGGCTGGTCATCCTCTTGTGGGGTCTGGGCCAATGTGTTTTGAGCGCCCCCTGGAGGCTGTGGGGGGTACGGGACACCTCTGCACGGAAGAGGGTGAGGAACAGCTGCCAGGCAAGGTGGCACCTCCCAGTCTGTCCTTACCCAAAGCAATGCATTTCCTCCAAGCCTGCCTCCAGCCTCCCGTTTCCCTCCCAGCCCATCGGAGATCTGTACTTATATTGAACTTGACCCTGTTGCTCAGCTTCTGATCTGCCATCGTCGCCCGCCCGCCCAAGATCCTGGTCCAGACACCAGCTTTAATCCGGGTCTGTGTCAGGAGCCCCCACTGGGCCCGGGTAGCATGGACATGGTGCACCGTCGCACTAGCCCTTAACCCAGTTTGTGTCAAAGCCAAAGTTCCCTGAGCACTATTCCGATTCCGCTCTTTGTTGGTGGGTTCGTTGGTGGTGTTTTAAAGTCCGCTTTCTTCGTCTGCCCCTCCTTGCCTGGCTCCCGTGTTTTGCAGCTGAGTGTTCATCTGGATGCTTTTTTGAATGAAGTTGGCAAGAGTCTGCCTTCCACAGCCTCTGCTCTATTTTTTATTTTTAATTTATTGTTGACTATTTCCAATGATCCAAATCAAAATGAATAAAAGAGAGCTATTTTATCGTTCAGGTGTGTCTGTCGTTTTTCTGTAAGGGCCGTGTAGTGTCTTGGTGCGGCCTCTCAAAGTCTCCACGCGAGAGACGCTTTGAATCTTAAAAGACACCTCCGGGGTGAGTGTCCACCCTGACCAGGTACCCAGGGGCTCAGGACACGGAGAGCTAACCTCTCCTCAGACGCAACTGTGCCTTCTCCCTGCTGTGTGACTAACGCCAGTCACCCAAGCTCTCTGAACCTCATGTATCCAATGGGCACCACAGCAGGAGCCGTCAGATGGGGTGTAAGGTCTAGAATAAATGCATCCTAGGAGGCTGGAGCGGACACATGCCCGCTCAGTGCACTGAGCATTTGCTGAATGAATTAGTCTGGTGTGGGCAGTTAGTGTCCCTCCTTCCCAAGGAGACGGGCACATCCATGTATGGGTCCAAGTATGATACAGAGTTGGCACAAATCTCCCAGTTTTTAGAGTAATTCCAGCAATCCAGTCACGGGACTACAGAATGGAAAGCTGGTGTAAATAATACTACTTCCCAGTTGGTGCAGCACTTTGCAGTCTGCACACCTCCTCCCTGGGGTTGGTCTTGACTTTCTCAACAGCCCTGCAGGGCTGGCGAATGGCTGCAGGCAGTTGAGGGCAGAGGGGAGGTTCAGGCCAAGACTTCCTTCCCTCTCCAGCTCTGGGGCCCCTGTTCTCTTCAGTGACACCTCCCCAGGCTCTTGGCAAGTTTGTGGTGTCCTGATGTCAGCTCTCGGAGGCAGGGCGGTGCAGAGAGTAACACGGGCGCTCGGGAGTCAGGCTGCCTGGGGTCCTGCATTAGCTGTGTGAGCGTGAGCAAGTTGCTTAACCTCTCCGCGCATATTTCCTTATGAACAAAGCTGGGATGGGGCTTCCCAGGTGGTGCTAGTGGTGAAGAATCTGCCTGCCAATTCAGGAGATGCAAGAAACTTGGGTTTGATCCCTGGATCAGGAAGATCCCCTGGTGGAGGAAATGGTCACCCACTCCAGATTCTTGGCTGGGAAATTCCATGGACAGAGGAACCTGGCAGACTACAGGCTGTATGTGACCATGGGGTCACAAAGAGTCGGACAAGAATTAGAGACCAAACAGCGTTGGAGTGTTGGAGTCACACCCGTGTAAACATGTGAGTGAAAGTGAAAGTGAAGTCGCTCAGTCGTGTCCGACTCTTTGTGACCCTACAGACTATGGACCGCCAGGGTCTGCTGTCCATGGGATTCTCCAGGCAAGAATACTGGAGCGGGTTGCCATTCCCTTCTCCAAGGGATCTTCCAGACCCAGGGATGGAACCCAGGTCTCCCGCATGGCAGAGAGATTCTTTACCATCTGAGCCACCTGGGAAGCTGTAAGCATGTATTGAGAGTTAAATGAATTATGCCATATCTGGGCCCTGCTCTTATCAATTGTTGGCTGAAAAAATTACTGACCCTCCATCAGAGACCAATCTTCCCCTAGATTTGTTCCTGGTTGGTGTCACATTAGACCTCTGCAGAAGGGAATGGCTACCCACTTCAGTATTCTTGCCTGGAGGCTTCCAAGGACATAGGAGTCTGGCAGAGCTACAGTCCACAGGGTCGCAAAGAGGCAGACTCAACTGAGCGACTAACACGCCCACAGTATCCATACTGTGGAATAGATAGGATAGCCTTCTAGAGCAGTAGAGCTGTAATGTGGACAGGCGGCCACAAGGTGGCGACACACGAAGTCAGGCCTCACCGGATGAGCTCAGCGCCCCCTTGACCCAGGCGGGAGCTGCCGGCAGGGGATGGATCCACAGGTGGCCCCGAGGATGCAAAGGCATTTCTTTGGGACCCTTCAGGCACCCGCTGGGTACAAGCCAAAGCCAGCTTGCTCTGCACCGCTGACCCTTCCCACAAACGCCGGCCCCCCAGGATTTGGCTGTGGGGCCACCGACAAAATACAGCCAGCAACACCCTTCAGGCTGCTCCAAACACATGCTTGACTGTTCCACAAAGGGTTAACGGAATAAGAAAAGAAGAACAAAATTTTCCCATTTGCAGCAACATGGATGTACTTGGAGGGCGTGATGCTGAGCCAAATAAGTCACACAGAGATAAATACTGCATGGCACCACTCACAGCGGAATCTAAAAAATATAACAAGCTAGGGAATATAACAAAAAGAAACGGAACAAACCAGTGGCTAGTGCAGGGGAGTGGGGCAAGGGCTATATAGCGGTGGAAAAGTGGGAGGCGCACACCACTGGGTGAAGACAGGCTCAGGGATGTATTGCACAACATGAGGAATACAGATACTATCTTGTAATAACTGTAAATAGAAAGTAACCTCTAAAAATTGCATAAAAGTTATCTTAACATTTAAAAAACAATGAAAATTTTTGAAAGTAGGTAAAAACAAGCCAACCAAAAGAGAAGGTGGGCTTCTAATTTCTTTTTGCTTTCTATCATAAAGATCTGCACACATACACGAGGATTGACAGGAGAGAGTGTGTGAGCATCAGTGTTTCCTACATCCCCCCCCCCTCATTTTTTCTTTCTCTTCCTTATTCACTGTCACTGTTCATGGCCCCCTGTATTTAGGGATTCACCTCAGGCTTCGCTCTGTCCTTGCGCGTGACCGAATGGGTTTCTTGGAATATGCCCGTCACATCCGTCTGCTGTGTCACTCGCCAAGCAGAGGCGTCCCTGGCCCTCTGGCGCCCCGTCCTCCAGTTGCGTTTGGAAGATGTTTTGTTTACACCAGGACTCACTAAAGTCAAGTCACAAAGTCTATCCCTTCCTAACTGAGGAGGTCGTGTGAGGTCCAGGAAGCTTGAGAAGAAAGCCCCGCCCTGGTCCGTGGGTCCTTCTGTGTCCACTGGGGAAGGGCCGGCCTCTCCTTCTGCTTTGTTCACTGACTCAGCACTCACCAAACACCGCCGGGGCTCAGGCACTGGCAGCCCTCCCTCAACAGCATCCGTCCACAGGACAAGGATGATGGTGCGTTTTCCCCTCTCACCCCTTCCCTTTAACACACACAACTGGGCCTCTCCAAACTCTAGAGCTCTGGAGGACACAGTGATGTTCCTTCCGCATGCCAGAGTCACAGCCCTTTGGTCATCTTCAACTGAAACATCAGGTCCTCATTGGAATCAGCAAATTCCAGGTAATCTGCTTCTCAGAGACACTGGGCGCCTTGCCACACTTCTATTTGTGGACATAGGGAAGGATTCAGAGACTGGCTATGCAATTCCAGTCCCACTGCTATGACCTGAATTGTCTTCCCCAAAACCCACATGTTGAAGCCTTCACCCCAGTGTGATGGTATTCAGAAACAAAGCCTTTGGGAGGTGATTGGGTTCATTCCAGGTCATGAGGGTGGGGCCACATAGTGGGATTAGTGCCCTTATAAGAAGAGACATGCCTTCAAAGATGTCTCAGTGGTAAAGAATCTGCCTGCCAAAGCAGGACACATGGGTTCAATCCCTGGGTCAGAAAGATACTCTGGAGAAAGAAATGGTGACCCACTCGAGTATTCTTGCCTGGACAGAGAATTCCATGGACAGAGAAGCCTGGTGGGCTACAGTTTATGGGGCTGCAAAGAGTCAGACACAACTTAGCGACGGAACATCAGCAACAACAAAAAAGAGACATAGAAGGAAGGCAGCCCAGCAAAAGCACATCCTCACTGGACCCGAGGGAGCTTATCCCCCGCCCAGCCTCTCCCCCATCTCCAGACCTCCAAAGGGCTCACTGCGCAGGCTGTCATGGCTGCTGCAGGTGGGATGCTGCAGTCAGGGGTGGAAAAGTCAGTTCAACTGGACGAACCAAATAAGGAAACTGCATGTTTTGCTCCAATTCAAAGCCACATTCTCCAGTTCAACTTGACTCGAAGTACAGCAAGCAAGGGATTTTGACTGGCTCCTTAAGCAATCTCTCCATAAGCCCAGAGCCCAGGACAGAAAGGTGGGCTTGAAGCACTAAGACCTCAGCCACTTGGAATCAGAGACCTGGGCCTTGTCAGGCTCTGGACCATGGAGGCCATGGATCTGGGTGGAAGCCTGCAAGCCAAGGGAGCAGATTGGTAAGAAACACACATCATCGATTTGCTGTCTGCCACGAATGGGGGAGAGGCTGCAGCAGGACGGTGGGTACCAGTGACAGGAAAAGGAGAAGGTGCCATGTGGCACCCGTAGCAAAGGAAAGTTTGGGGAGTGGGGGTGTGTGAAGTCCAGAACCATCAACGAAGCCAACAGAGATGTGGTCCTCACCCTGGAAGCTGCTGCTGGGAGCTGGACGAGAGCAGCCACAGGCTAGGGTGATGGCAGCATCCTCAGAGCCTCCAGGCACTTCCCACGAGTCAGGGAACAAGCCAGCTTCTTTGCAGGGCTGGGGGTCCGCCTGGGTGCCACACACCCGGCACACTCCCTGGCAAGTGGAGGACCACAGCAGGGGGTCCTGATAACCATCAGTTCAGAGCATCCTTTCTCCAGTCCCGGAGAAGTGGTGCTTACATATAACCTATTACTGCAGACAGTCGAGTGCCCTGAGGGTGCCTTCCGCCCCACAACAATGTGCAAGCTCAGCTTCTTGTGGGAAGGACCAACCAGCTCTGAGAACTCCTTCCTCTCCAAGTTTTAAAACATTTGGACAGGCTTTCTCAAAACTTTGTCCAAAACAGGGAGCTAGAATTGGTATAGATTTGTGGACTGCTGGAAGATTCCTTTCCTTTGTAAGTCCTCCAAGGATCCTTGGCTCAATCACAGGAACCCACAGGTCCTGGGTGTCAAAGACCTGGATCAGACAGGGACCTTTTCTGTAAAGTGGGAACTGTGAGTCCTGATGTTAGGTATGTGTGTGTCAGTCACGCAGTTGTGACGGACTCTGTGGCCCTATGGACCATAGCCTTCCAGGTTCCTCTGTCCATGAGATTCTCTAGGCAAGAATACTGGGGTGGGTTGCCATGCTCTCCTCCAGGGGATCTTCCCGGCTCAGGAATTGGACCCACACCTCTGATGTCTCTGGCATTGGTGGGCAGATTCTTTACCAACAGCATCACCTGGGAAGCCCAATGTTTTATATATATATATATGTCATTTGATAATTATGTACCAAGAGCCACTGGGGGCTGGGGATGGGCAAGACAGTTTCCCTGACATCGGAAGATCACAGTCTTATGCCAGGACGACAGTAACACCAGGAAACATGGGAGATTCTTGATGATGATCATAATTCCCTTTCATACGCTGTCAACATGGGTTAAGGGCTTTGCCTACGTTAGTCTCATTTAATCCGGCAGCAATCCTGCCAAGAGGCACTGTTTCTGGAAGAAGACAATTTAACAAGGAAACAGATTCCAGGAGATGAAGTCACCTGCCCGCGAAGGAGCGGGGAGAGAGCCAGGATTCCAAAAGCAAGGTGCTGAGATCCCCACAAGAGTGTGCAGACAGGGAACTGTCTGCTCTGCTCCAAAATGAAGCACTTTGGAGATGCGCTCCCCCAACAGACTGGTTTGCCCTGACCTGGGAGCTGCCCACATTCCACGGTGGCCTTGGTCAAGAGCTGGACCCGAGCACAGAGACACTGGCCACCAGAGGGCGCAGTGGAACCGCCTTCAGCCAGATTGTCAACACAGGGTTTGAAAACGATGAGAAAACACACACACCCAGGTCAGGATTTCAAACGACTTGGCATTGATTAGTTGGGACAAATTCTGGACAGAAGATACCAGGACACTAAAAAAAAACCCAGTTGCCACTTTTGAAGAGCCAGGAGCAAAAGCAAGGTGCCAGGCATGCCTCCCCCACCCCGCCCCACACAGCACCACCTAATGGGGGGGCGCAAACCACCCCTCCAGCCTGACCCCTGGACACACCCCTGCCCTCACCTCACGTAAGGAACCAGCTTGCCCCTCCCCAGGGAGCGAGCCGGCAAGCGAGGGAAACTGTTGTTCTTGCTTCCCTCCCCGCTGCAGTAGTGGCCCCAATATAGCTTTGCCTGGAAAGAAAAAAAAGACTTGGCATTGAGAATTATCAAGTCCACACCCTCCAGATAAGGACACTGAGATCTCTGTCACTTGGCCAAGAGAATTGGGTCAAGAGGAAAAGGCTGGACGCAGTTGGAAAAGGTCAAAACCCCAACAAGTGTGGACTGGCTGAAAAGCTTTAAATGATGTCACATTGTCACACAGCCTAGCTCTCCCCATGGCCCTGCTGGGCCTCTGGACCTCAGCATTTCACTAGCTTAAGATTCCTGCGCTTTCTGTGGCTCATCAGCCTTGTATCATATGGGATAAACCTGATTTTTTGGAACCTCAGCTTCTCAATCTGTAGAATGGGCACTATAAGACAAAGTATACAGAAAGCAAAGATGCAGCCCCGAATTTTCTGAGTCCTGTCTCTGTTCCAGGCATTCATGATGCTTTTTCTCATTCAGTTCTCACAAGAGCCCCCATGGATGAGATAGTGCTACCATTTTCAGGGAAGACTTGAGGCTCAGAGACTGTTAGTTCCTTGCCTGTGGTCACAAACTCCATGAGGGATTAGAGGGTTCAAGATCAGACTTGACTGCACCGCTCAGGATGTGACAGGCTGGTGCTGCAGTAACAAATAAACTCACAGATCCCCGTGACTTGGAGCAGAGAGGCAAAGGTTTATTTCTTGCTGCGTCACAGGCTGGTAGGTTTGGCCATCCATTCAGGCTTCCCCAACGTCTTCATCTTGTGACTGTGCTGACCTCAACTTCAATCCATGGTCTTCAAGCTCACTGGCAAAGGGACGAGGAGGTGGAAATGACTCACTAGTTCTTAACTCAGACTCCACACCCATCACTTCCACTCACAGTCTAGTGGCCAGCGTGATCTATCCATGTGGTCCAAGCAGAACTTCCGGGGAGGCTGGGAATGTGGGGGACCACCTGGGATAGCAGAGGAGCAGTGTCTCCACCCGTGTCTTCCTCGACGTCACAGACATCAGGGGGCTGACCGGTAAGAGGGCCAGAGTCCTGAGCATGCCTGGGTGGGGTGCTTCCTTCTGTGGGCTCAGCAAAATGCAGACAGGCCAGCCCAGGGCGCAGGGAGGGGCCCCAGAGACAGCGGGTGGTGGAATCAAGGCTGCCCAGCCCAGGCTTCATCAATGCCTTCTGTTATCGCGAGGGCTGCTGTGCAGACTGGTGTGTCCAGATGGCTGTTCCTGTCACCTTTGTCTGGCTCCTTCTGTGCAAGATGATCCGTCCCAGTGTAGACACCCCAGTGGTGGCATGAGCTGCTGTCTCCTGGGGGAAGGGAGCTCTTCCTGGCAGCTGCCTCAGCAAGTCCAGAGAACTGCTCTGGGGAGATGCTAAGAGTAATTTGGGCACCAGGGAAAGCAGACTGGGAAGAGAGGGTGAGTTTTGCAGTGAAGCCAGGCCTCTTCATTCCTGCAGGCAGCATGGCGGTGGCCGCCACACACTGGCTCCGGGGTCCCCATGACCCGATCTGTATACTGCGTGGCCTGGGCAAAATCTGTGTGTCTCAAGCTTTTACACCGAAGGGTGCCTCAATTCCCCACTCTCCCAAAGTCACAAACAGAAGTTCCCTGAGGCCAGGAACACAGTCTGTCTTCTCTTCAGAATTCCCGGCTGCTAGCACAGTACCAGGTACATAGTAGACTCTTAAAACTTGTGTTGGTTGACTAAATGGGCCTTGGGAATTTATTCTATTTATATAGAATGAAAGGGACTTCCCCGGTGGTCCAGTGGTTAAGAATCCAGCTGCGGATGCAGGGGACACAGGTTCGATCCCTGGTCCGGGAAGAGTCCATATGCCACAGAGCAGCTGAGCCCAAGCGCCGCAACTACCGAGCCCGCACTCCCTGGAGCTCATGCTCTGCAACGAGAAGCCCCTGCTACTGGGAGTCCGGCCCCACAATGAAGATAGCCCCCGCTTGTTGCGACCAAAAAAGCCCACCAGCAGCAACAGACCCCGTTCCACCAAAAATGAATATTACTTAATTATTAAAGGAATAGACGGAAAGCTAACATGTGTTAGGTACTTCCGCGGGTGGCTCAGATGGTAAAGAGTCTGCCTGCAATGCAGGAGACCTGGGTTCAATCCCTGGGCTGGGAAGATCCACTGGAAAAGGAAATGGCAACTCACTCCAGTATTCTTGCCTGGAAAATCCCATGGATGGAGCAGCCTGGCAGGCTACTGTCCACGGGGTCGCAAAGAGTTGGACACAACTTTACTACTTTAACAAGTAGTAAGTGTCTCTCAAGCTCCAGTCTGTTCACAGACTGCAAGATGTAACTTACCTGCTCTGCAGTTCTAGGAGACAGGTACCCTTCCTGGCATGTACGTTTTAAAGATAAAAACCTCTGAGAGCTAAACCAGCTTGCCCAGGTGCACGCAGCTCCTCAGCAGTGGAGGCTGAATGTAAAGCAGGTGGTCAGGCTCTGAACCTGTGCTTGGAACCACTAAGCTCCTCAAAGTGTCTCCCAAAATAGCTGTCCAACACCCTCGAGACACCTGAGGCCGTGGGGTATACAGAGGACAAACAGGAGATGACTTGTGCTGGGAATGAAATGAGTCATTACTGAGACTTATGTGTGCTCCATCTCCCACCAAAGCTGTGGGGACAGGGAATTCACAGTTTTGCTCTAAAGCAAGCATGTTAGGCTTTCCTGGTGGCTCAGATGGTAAAGCATCTGCCTGCAATGCGGGAGACCCAGGTTCAATCCCTGGGTCAGGAAGATCCGCTGGAGAAGGAAATGGCAACCCACTCCAGTACTCTTGCCTGGAAAATTCCGCGGACGGAGGAGCCTGGTGGGCTACAGTCCATGGGGTTGCAAAGAGTCAGACACAACTGAGTGACTTTCTCACTCACTCACTCAGGCATGTTAGAGGTGAACCTGGTGGGCTGATTCATCACAGAAGGGCCAGCCCAGTTCAGGGAGCACCGGGGGCTGCCAGAAGGTTAACTTTCACCAGACTGACCAGACTGAGCTTGAGGGGTGCAGCAGGACTGGGGCAGCTCCAAAAAGAGAAGATGGTCACACCCAGCTGGGTGCTGAGGGTATAATAGGAGTCCTCCAAAAAGAGAAAGCAGCAGGAACCCCGACGCTCTGCGTGTGGCTGCTGTGGCCCACCTCATTCCTTTCTGATTCTGTCTTGGCTCTTTGCAGGGTCCACATTCCCCACTTCACCTTCAAATATCTGGGTTTTCTGAGAGGCTTTCTTTGGTCTTCTTCCTACAGATCACAGACACGCCGCTCCTCGCTGATGGTGCCACCTCTCTATTTTTTCTCTCTCCTTCAGACCCACATATCCATCTGTCTTCTGCATATTTTCTCTTCTATGGCCCTTCAGATTCCACAAACCGAAATCAAATCCTTCATCTTCCTTCCTTGCTTCTGCTCATGGGGACTCCATTGGCCTCTCTTGTCTGCAAAATAGATGTGCAAGGTAGCTTCTCTGGGGTTCCCCGTCTCTCACCCAGCATAGCCATCCCCTGTCCCCATGCCCTGTCCATTCTGCCTCTGTAACATGGATACTTTAATTTTTAAAAATTAAAAAAAAGTTTTAAATTATTTTTTACTGGCAGCACTGGTCTTTGTTGCTGTGTGCGGGCTTTCTCTGGTTTCAGTGAGCAGGGGCTACTCACTGGTTTGCGGTGCATGGGCTTCTCATTAGTGGTAATCGCACACCATGGCCAAAGCATCAGATGCCACTGGATGGCGTAATTTAAAATGCTTACTTACATATAAGCTGGATTTCACTGAAGTTAAAAATTAAATACAGAAATCATTTAAAATAATAATCCATAATTGTTTTCCTGTATTTTCTCATTTGATAAGATGAGCCCTAGGAAGAGGACAGAGTATGAGTTAATAACCACTTTTTATGGACATGGAAAACAGGGTGTGGGTATAAAAGCTTGCTCAGCATCTAAGAGGGTCTCAGCAGCAGGAGACCCTGACCGTCTGGCTTTCCGGGAGCATCTCGGGCCTTGTGGGAGCTGACCAGGTGGCGCTAGCGGTAAAGAATCCACCTGCCAACGCAAGAGACAAGAGGAACGCAGGTTCGACCCCTGGGTCAGAAACATCCCCTGGAGGAGGAAATGGCACCATGCTCCAGTATCCTTGCCTGGAAAATCCCACAGTCAGAGGAGCCTGGAGGGATGCGGTCCACGGGGCCGCAAAGTGTCGGACGCTACGGAGCCACTGAGCATGCACACACTGGGAGCTCGCGTCTGCAGAGCTGGGCCCACGGCCAGAGATTAGGGAGACAGGGTCTCCCTCTGGGTGGAGTCTCTGGGCAGCCCCCCAGCCCCGTGTCCTCGGCCTGTAAGGGATTCCTCTCGAAGCCCTGAAGGAAGGCGGCCAGGTCACACACGCCCCACAGCCAGGCCTCTGCGATGGAAGAGGTGGGACGGGAAGGAGCAGGGAGGGCTTGTCAGGATCAGGAACAATGAGAGAGAAAACCGGCCTTGCAGGGTTTCGTTTGAGTTTCCTAAAGAAATTGGAACCCATCGGATTGTTCCAGAAATAGAGCTGTGACTGCAGGCACGTCCTGGAAATTCGACTTCCTGTCACCACACGTGGCTTCCCCTTGCCAGCTGAACTTTCCGAATCGAGGTGGAAAACGCACAGCGCAGCCTCTCCAGGTCATTGTTGCGTACACAGTGGAATTTTCTCTGTCCTGATGCACGTAGGCACAGCTGAAAGCGGGAAGCTTAGAAAGAGCAGGGTTGCTCAGGTGATGCCTCCGGTCAGATACACACTCCCCGGGGCTCTGAGTCCCTGGGAAACTGGGTCACAGTCACCCCGTGACCTGTGCCCAGTCCCAGCCTTGCCCCCCACCTCCAGCATCACCTCTGGACCACTGGAAAGTCACGAACTGGCCTCTCAGCTTTGGAGCATCCATCTCCCCCTGCCTCCTGACGCCCACATCTCAAGTCTCACCAGGCTTCCAGAGCCCCCAGGATGGTCCCCTACTCTCAGAGGAACGCGCTTATTCCACAGCAAATTGCTTCCTTGCCTTCCTGTGCACCTCACCCCCGGCAGCTCTTGGTCAGTGCGGGGGGAGGGCTCCTCATGTTCTTACCGGGCCTGGCAGCTGGCAGGCGCTCGGTCAGTGCTGGCTGAATGGTAGAATGCTGGTGGGGCAGGTGGGCAGGAAATGGAAGAGATGAAGCAGAAGGTGGAGGACGGCTAAGAAGTGAGAACGTAGGAGAGCCCTCCCTGAATCATTCCCGACCCGCTGGAGACCCATAGGATCCCCCTGTCTCTCCTTGATCCTGGTTCTCTTGGCCATAAGTAAAGGCCTTGGGGGTCCGGATCCCAGAAGTCCTCCCCTAATCTGACCCTTGATGGGACTCAGAGCCCAGGGCGTACAGAGGGATGCATGGGGCTGTCCCAGGGCCAAAGACTCAGGTTGGCAGAGTCTGGACCAAGACACACCACCTAAAAGGATCCACCTGGGATGGAGAGGGGATGGACAGAACAGGGGGACACTTTGTGCTAAGATCAGGGGCCTCTGACCTTATATTGCCCCTGCGCAGTATTCCAGGTCCTAGAATAGTGTCCAGATTGTTGCCAAATCGTGTCTGACTCTCTGTGATCCTGTGGACTACACCACACCAGGCTTCCCAGTCCTTCACTATCTCCCAGAGTTTGCTCAAACTCATGTCCATTGAGTCAGTGATGCCATCCAACAATCTCATCCTCTATCACCCCCTTCTCCTCCTGCCTTCAGTCCTTCCCAGCATCAGGGTCTTATCCAGTGAGACTGACTTTTTGCTCCACCAGCTCCACATGTTAGGGACATGGACTGACTCATGGAGGCCCCCAGCACAAAACATCACTTTCCTTCTTTAAGCTTGAAGGTCTCGGTGCACGTGCACGATGGATCCAAGCGAAGGCGCTCAGTAAGGACCAGGACCCAGGACGCTCTGTGTAAATCGCCTGGCCTGACATCTTCAGTGCAACAGAGTGATGGCTGAATGGGGATGGAAAACAGGGACGGACCTGGCACCAAGCCTGCTCCCTCCCGCCCCCCTGCCCTCCCTGCCCAAGCAAGCTGTCCGCTGGAAAGTCTTCCTGCCATGAAGACCGCCGGAGTTCCTGAGACCCATGCTCCTTGTCAACCTCTCCAGCCTCTGCATTTTGCACCAGCCCTCCTTCCCTCTTCTCTGCTACCTGCCCTCCTGTGCCCACATCTCACCCCATCATCCGCCCCCCTACTCCCCGCCCCACATCTATGTCTGCTTCTCTTCCAAGCCCACAGCATGGATATTCCCTCCTCTGGGGCCCTTTTCTGCAAGACTAACTCCTTCCCAGTCCTGATGTGTATTGTCCTCTGCCCCCACTGGGATAACGATGGGGCCCTAATTAGCATGCAGGGTAACTTAGTAACACAGTATGTTTCCCCACCACGTCTCGCCTCCCTCATAACACAGTTCACAGGGACTTTAGCTTTTAGGGGCTTCCCTGATAGCTCAGTTGGTGAAGAATCCACCTGCAATGCAGGAGACACTGGTTCAATTCCTGGGTCAGGAAGACCCGTTGGAGAAGGGATCGGCTGCCCACTCCAGTATTCTTGGGCTTTCCTGGTGGCTCAGCTGGTAAAGAACCCGCCCGAAATGTGGGAGACCTGGGTTCGGTCCCTGGGTTGGGAAGATCCCCTGGAAAAGGGAAAGGCTACCCCCTCCAGTATTCTGGCCTGGAGAATTCCATGGACTGTACAGTCCATGGGGTCACAAAGAGTCAGACACAACTGAGTGACTTTCACTCTTTAGCTTTCTATACTACCCCACATTAGCTGATTCTATATTAAATATAACAACAGCCAATGTTTATTGGATACAGACTATGGGCTAGGTGCTGTAGGGGTATCCCTTGTGGATAAATTCATTGAACATTCATATCTACAGACAGGGCTGCTGCTGGAAAGTTACTCATAGAGCAACCTTGACCCTACTTGCAGTAACGCCGTCTGTAAAGTAGAAACCATCATTATCGTTGTCACCATTGTCTTTGTCATCATCACTAGCCACATTGTATAAATGAAGAGCAAGAGACACAGAGGGCTTCAGTAACTTGCCCAAAGTCACGAAGTTAATAAATGACAGAGCCAGGATTCGAACTGGCCCTTTGACTCCAAGTTCAATTAGTGACTCTCAATTATTACATTCTGCTGTTTTCTACCATGTTGGGCTGCCAACATGTGGGTTTGGGGCGTTGGAATGGAAGAACCCAACATGTGAGTTTGGGGCGTTGGAATGGAAGAACCCAACATGTGAGTTTGGGGCGTTGGAATGGAAGAACTCAACATGTGAGTTTGGGGCGTTGGAATGGAAGAACTCAACATGTGAGTTTGGGGCGTTGGAATGGAAGAACTCAACATGTGAGTTTGGGGCTTTGGAATGGAAGAACTAATGGATTAGATGTCTTTAGGAAGAGCAAGAATGATGCTTTTGAACTATGGTGCTGGAGAAGACTCTTGAGAGTCCCTTGGACAGCAAGGAAATCAAACCAGTCCATCCTAAAGGAGATCAACCCTGAATATACATTGGTGCTGAAACTGAAGCTCCAATACTTGGCCTCCAGATGTGAAGAGCCGACTCATTGGAAAAGACCTTCAACCTGGAAAATATTGAGGGCAGGAGGAGAAGGGGACAACAGAGGATGAGATGGTTGATGGCATCTTTGATTCAATGGACATGAGTTTGAACAAACTCTGGGAGTTAGTGATGGACAGGAAAGCTTGTTGTGCTGTAGTCCATGGGATTGCAAAGAATCAGACATGACTTAGTGACTAAACAATAACAAATAACGATAAGATGTCTCAGGTGCAGTGTTAACCAAAGCCAACAGACGTAAATCAATATGGTTCCCCTTCCAGATCCAAAGAGTCTATGACGAATCGATATTGCTGTGGTTCTCTGACTCCCACCCTTCCCCCAGCCTGCCCACAGCACTGAAGTGCCTCCTGCTGATGTAGCAAAGACCTGACCCTGCCACATACTTGATGTGCGATTTAGGGCAAATTTCTTAATCTCACCGAGCCTCGATGTCTTCATATGTAAAATGTGGAAAAGAATTGTATCTTCCTCATAGTTTGCTCAAGAATGGAAAACCGTGTGGTCTAAGAATTGCCTAATATGCCACGAACATTGTGAGAGCTCAAGAAATGGTGAAAGAAGTCTAACGTATTTTGATAAATATGGTGAACTGTAGAGTGTAGACACCTTACCTTTGTCTGCTCTGCTTGTGGCCCAGAGGGCTGAGCCCTGCAAACAACATTTCCCAGGCTCGCTTGCCAATAACTTCCTGCTGGGTTCAGCCAACAGGAGGCACTGGTGGGGGATGGAGGGAGGGAAGAAGGAGGAAGCTGTGCTGTTTGTCTCTCTGCTTCCAGCAGTATCTTTGCAGAGGCAAAATGCCCTCTCTGGTCTCAGCTCCAGCGAGGCAGTCACTACCAGGGTGCCAGCTCCAGGGAGCAACATCAACCCCTGGGCCCTGGTAATAGCCCTTCCTTTTTATGCCTCAACCCCAGGATGGAATGCTTCCTCCTATTCCCAACCTCCAGGAGGCCTCAAAGTCCCCTGTGAGTAGAGTTCACCAGAATTAAGAAATAAAAATACAGCAAGCTCAGTTAAAAATGTGCATTTCAGATAAACAATACATCATTTTTTTGTTGTTTTTGTTTTTTAGTATAAGTAAGTTTTCCTGAATATCACGTGAAACATACTTACATGGAAAAAAAAAATCTTGTTTACCTAAAATTTAAATGTAACTGGCTACCATGTATTTTATCTGGCAACCTTGCATGTAAGGCCTCTCAAATCTCCCTACACTGCTGTTCCTAGCACTATGCATTAAATATCCCCTATTAAAATTCCTGGTAAGGGCTCTTTCATTGCTGGATCCTGCTTGATTGGAATGCTGAGTCTGGTATGATCCAGGGACACGTTTCTGGAATTCTGAAGTTGCTGCCTTACCCCCAGCCTTCTATTCCTCTTCCAGCTCCCCAGGAGTTCAAAGAAGAAGATGGAATTCAAAACTAACATTAATTCAGCATCTCTAGATGCCAAGCACTCAAAAACTTGGCAGAGATACAACGCTTTGCTATCTTAATTGCTGGCATCAGAACACATCCCAGAGAGAAGTTTTGTTTAGGAAAACACCTTAACAAACCACTCAGGGAGGAATCAGAGACCCTGAGGGCAGAGGCTAAGACAGTAAAAGGCCTGGCTAATGGAATGCTTGGGCTTCCCAGTTGCCTCACTGGTAAAGAACTGCTGTGCAGGAGATGTAAGAGACACGAGTTTGATCCCTGGGTTGGCAAGATCGCCTGGAGTAGGAAATGGCAACCCACTGCAGTATTCTTGCCTGCAAAATCCCATGGACAGAGGATCCTGGTGGGCTACAGTCCGTGGGGTTGCAAAGAGTCAGAAATAACTGAGCACGCACACAATAGGATGCTTAAGAAAAGCCTTAATCATCTGGGAGATCTGGGAAGGGATATTCCAGCTGCTCTATTAGAAGTGTAAAGTACCCCCAAACCTGAAGATGGAAAACCACAGTTTTATTATACTCGTGAATTCTGTGGGTCAGAAAGTGGGGTGGAGCACAGCAAAGTGGCTCAGCTGGGAAGACTCGGCCAGATGGGCTGCCTCAATGTCAGGCAGCTGAGAACATCAAGAGGCACCTCTGCTCCCCAACTGGGGATCGCTGCAGCCTCAGCTGGGGCTGGCAACCAGAGCCAGCATCACAGCCTCTCCATGTGGTCTGGGCTTCTTTACACTATGGTGGCCCCAGGGGAGCTGGATCTCTTACACATCGGCTCAGGTTGCCAAAAGCAGGCGTCCAAGGGGACAAGGCAGAAGCTGCATCGGCTATAAGGTCCTGGACTCAGAAGCCATGAACCTGACTTCCCTGTTGTATCAGGAAGAAGCAGTAACAGACAGACCTGCTTAGAGTCAAGAGGGCATGGAGAGAGACCCTGCCTCTCGACCAGAGGATGGCGAGTCACATAGTTGAAAAGAGTGCAAAATGGGAGATGGTGTTGCCATCATTTGGGGATAAAAGCACA